CAGAGAAAAAGAGGAAGACCCTCAGTGAGATGGATTGGCCAAGTGGCAGCATCAGTGGGCTTACGCGTAGCAATAATTGTGAGGTTGGTCCAGGACCAGGCAGTGTTTTGTTCTGTTGTGCACAGGGTTGCTATGAATTGGTATTGACTCAATGGCATCTAACAACAACAACTAGTATGGCAGGATAAGTTATTGAACTATGAATTCTTGTTTTTCCTTGCCCTTTAGAGCAGGCAGGGGTTTGGTGGAACTGAGAGTAAAGGCATCTTCTGCTTTTTGTAAAAGTCTAAAATAAACCTGTGAGAAAAAGATGAGGCTTTCTGCTGCAAAAAGATTTGAAGCCTCGGAAACCCTATAGAGGGTTGCTATGAGTTGAAACCCGCCTTGAAGGTACTTAACAACAACACCACCAGTAAACCTGGGATAAGGTTATATCCCGAGGGGCTGAGGGTGCATTTGGAGAAACTTAGCAATGGTTGGAGAGACTGTTGGACAGAGGCCGGGATTCTAGCTAGCCTGGGCACTGACAATGATGGAGTGAGTGGCAGGACTCTGAGCAGATGGCTTTAGGAGGTGTCTGGGAGGTCAGGTCCAAGCTCTCATATCTGAATTCTCATGTCTCAAATGTGGCACAGGGCTGTCAGGATCTGAAGAGGCATACCTGCCGAGACCACAGGAGCCACTGCATGCCCAGGGATGGAATGGGTTGGGGCAGGTAGGGAGCCTCCTTTGTGACTTTTGCTCATCCCTTGGCAGGTGGGATCTCCAGGAGTGAATGATTTGACTTCTTTACCAGCACAAGGACTTGGAAGTAGGAATAAAGTTGATTTAAAGAACATGGTAAAATGTAGTATTTCATGCATATCTGAGTTTATAGCCTAAGATCATACCCGCTGCAACATCATAGGTAGGGAGGAACCCCTGTTCTCAGCAGCCACAGGAGGAGCAGATAAGGGAATTCTTCCAAGATTTTTTGATAAGTGGTAAGTACTATGGCATGCTTGGCTCTCATGGAGGGAAAAGATGGTGGAGTAGCCACCTCTAACTCCTTGAATCCCATCATTTTTGACCCTCCCCATGGATCTGTTGCTTTTTCTCCCACTTTTCCAGGCCCCATCTGATGATCCTGCTTCTCCCTGGTAGGAGGTGGGCGAGGGGGCCAGAAAGGAATGTCTCTGCTCTGGGAAGAAGAGTTGAGCAGGGTCTTCTTGGAGAGAAGAATATGTCTGAATCCTGGATTTCCAAAGACCTGCCTCAGGAGACTTATTCCTTGGCCTCAAGAGGTTAAAGAAAGGAAGAGGACCAGGGCCCTAGCCAGAGAAGAAAAGAGAAGAAATGGAAAATAAGAGGGCTTTCCTAACTGGAGAAAGCTGACGGATTCAAGGAGCCCAGATGGGCATAGAGTTCCTGACAGCCCCATCCAGCACAGAGGAGAGGCCAAGGACGGAACTTCATTGAAAGGACAGAAGAGACTCCTCTTGGGTCCTTGGGAGGGGAGGGGTCCTGGGGGGCTCCCAGGACTGGTGCTGTTGCTAAGGTGGGTTTCAGTATAACCTATGTGTGCCTGGCTTACAGGCTGGCTCAGGCCACAGGGCTGAAGGTGGAGGGGAACCATGACAGCCTCTCTCCTGTGGCCCTCCCAAAGAGATACCCTGAAGTTTCTTATGCATAGACCCCCAAGGAAAGGGGAGGAAGACCTGGAGGTCACTCCAGGGGTGAGAGAGTGCCTGACAGATTCAGGTGGTGGGATCTCTTCTGGGTCTCCGAGGTCTGCAGAGAGGTTGGGGTGGGCACTTCAGGTCCACCATTCCTCTCTTTTCATTGGCAGAAATTTCTCAGAGACCAGGAGCAGCCCCAGTGTCTGTTCCACCGTGTTCATCAACCTCTTCTCTACTACCCGCAGGTCTGGGCACCTGGGCGGTGAGATCATACCAGTCTGAGCCAGACGGAGCTCTTGCTGGAACTCCAAAGTGTGAATCTACCCTGTAGAGACCTGCCTCCCCGTGGACATAAACACAAAGGAACAGGTATATGTGTGGGAGTCAGAAGCAACGTTTTATTCAGTTATAAGGAAGACATGGGGTGCAGTGGGGAGCAGGGGCAAGTCCAGGATCCTAGGTGACCTCTCTTAAGAAAGACAGTCCTGCTGCCTCCTCCCACACTCATTGGATGACACCCTGCCCACTCGCTCCCTCTGACCCCACTGTCTTCCTGATCCTGGTCTGGTCTGGGCAGTTCAGCCATGTGGGATGGGGCTGGAGACACACAGGTGGGATGGTTGAAGCAGGAGAAGAGGTGCGGCAGGGCCAGCAAGAGGTGGCTGCTCTGGGGCCGACGAGTCCTCCCTCTCTCCTAGCCCCTTTCTTGCCCCTTGGGTTGGGATTCCAAGCCCTAGTAATGTTGGTGGGGACCTCCTGGACTCCAGGCTGGTCACTGGGCTGTGACCGCTTTGGGCTCTGTGGGCTGCTCAGACCTGGGAGGGTAGAAAAGGGGTGTGAAAGGTTGATGGGTGCCCTTCCCTCACACTTTTCTTCCCAGTCCTCCAAACTCCTCACCTCTTGCAGGCTTTGGAGCTCTTTCTCTTCTTGCTAGTCTTGGCCGCCCCATTGTCCTTCCCACAGCCCTGAGGGCTTTTCTTTGGGGCTGGTGGCTTGTCCAAACGCTGCATCAGCTGCTTTACCCAGTCCTCATTAGGGTTGGCACACAGTTCAGGCTGAGAGCGCTTCCGGGGTGCGAACCTGGGAGTGAGAGGTCAGCAACCTGCCCATCCCACTCAGCTGCTGACCTACACCCATCCCCTTGTGCCCACTCACAAGATGGCTGAGATCAGGCATCCACTGCTTGTTTCCTGCTTCCTGTAGCCTCGGACGATGTGGGAGGGAATGATCCTCTGGCTGTACCTGAGGCAGCAGTCCTGTGCACCCCCATCACTGCCTGCAGGGGCAGGGTTCACAGGGAGCCAGGGGATGCTTGTAGACCCCTACCCCAGGCATCTCCAACCCCCCTTCATCCCATCCTAGGCACACCGTGCGTTGGTACCTTGGGTTCCACGGCTGCAGAGGACCAGAACCAAGACCAGGAGGCTCAGAGCCAGTGACTGAGCCATGGCCACAGAAGAGGGTGAGCAGAGGCCAGAGCTGTGGGCTAGGCGGATCACTGCAAGTTGGGGGACTCTGTGTGGGCTGGGACTGGCCCACTGCCTATTTATCCCCCAGGAGGCTCCCCTCCCCCTATCCCACTATCTAGGCAAGAATAGGGATCCCCCTCCTTTTCCTTCCTGAAGGCGGAGCGTGGCTAAATGAAGACTTTAGCACAGTCAGTCCCCAAGTCACCTGATTTTACCTCAGTTTCAGTTGAATCAACCAGTCTGTCTTTTCTATTGTATTAGTTAGAAGCCACTACCTCTTCCCAGGAACACTGTTATTGCTCCCCCTCACTGCACTCCAGGCTCCACACTTCTCCTTTCTACCCCTTCCAGCAGGCAGGGTAGAAGACTCTTCCTGAAATCTACATTTGATTATGTCTCTCTGCTGCTCCAAACACTTTGCTGTCCCTGTGACTCTTAGGATGAAACCCGTGTTCTTTGTTCAGCCCCATCTTCTACCAACACCCTTGAGTCACCTCTCATGAACACACCTGGCCCCTCCTTTGAGCTTTTGCACATGGTAATCCCTTACCCAGAGTCTTTTTCCTTTTCTTTGCTAGTTGAGTCTCAGCAAAAATTGAATCCTTGCCCTTACATGGCCTTCTCTGGCCTTCCAAAGCACCCTCAGGTTATTCCATCCTGGCACCCAGCAGGCCTTTAATAATGCAATCAAAGGGCTCAGTCACAGTTTCTTTACTAGTCTGGCTTTCCCACTATGCTATGAGAGTTTTTGCTGATGCGGACCAGGCCTTGCTCACCTCTGCATATGCAAGGCCTGGCACAAGCTGGCTTTGGTGCGATTGTTGCCAAGTTGATGATAACATTGAGAGAGGTTAGGGAGGAAGCAGGAGTGTTGATCTCCTGTACGAGGCTTCTCTCTTGGGTTGTGAGAATGGTGTTCAGTTTCAGTTACTATGAATGAAGAGGGTTCCTAAGAGAACCCTTTCTTAGCTCATCTCTTCTAGAGCTCATCTAGAAGAGCTGCTTGGAATTAAGAGGAGAAGGGGTTGGCCAGGGGTACTTGTCACAGGGTCTAAATAATGTCCTACAGAGAACTGGGCTGAAAGGTTGGACATGGGAAGGGAGAGGCGTCTGATCCCATTCTGCCCTGGTCCTGATTTGAAGTAGGCCTAGGAAGACTATGAAAGCTGAATGAAGGCTGAGCCACCAAGCCATGGCTCAGAGGCAACCATGTTCTGGGATGTCCTAGAGGCTGAGTGGGGGCTCCTCTGTCTGCCCCTGATGGGCTGGTTAAGGAACCCTTAGCACCAGCTCAGCCTGAGGATGTGGCACTTGCAGCTGTGCTTCCTAGATCATGGGTGTTATGCTGCCATGCATTCACACATTTCTTGAGCAGGCACTAAATGGTATGCACAATGCTAAGTACCAAGCATCCAGATAGGACCAATATAGCCAGGTCTTGGTCATCATAGAGCTTATTTTCTATAAGAGAACGACAGCTAGATAAATGAATTGGATAGTTTCAGTGAGTGATAGGTGCCACGAAGAAAATTAAACTGGGTAGTGTAATGAATGAAGTGACACTTGGTCGGGAAGACTGTGGACATGTAGCAGATAGCCAGGAGGAGAAGGAGCCAGCCCTGCTGAGCTGCAGGGTGAGGATTCTGGGGCCTCACGGGGCCAGAAGGTCAAAACAGAAAGAACCTGGGTACCCTGGGCGCTCTGGCCTTTCTCAGATTTCAACAGCCAGGGGAAGTGAGGTGCTCCTTACTCCTGCCTGTACTGTCCTACCCAGACTGGGCTCTGGATACAGATGTACACCTGAGGACCTATGGGACCCATGGAGGAGGGACCTGCAAACTTCGCCCTGAGCAGGAGGGAGGAATGACAGGGGTTGCTCAGCTTATCGAAGACAAGCCATGGCAGAGCTGGGACCCCAAGAATCATGTGGGTAAGTTCTGGATTCTGGCATAGAGAGGCTTCCACATTGTCCAAGAGGCGTGCACTTCTTCATGTTAGACTTATTTTACTAAAAAGAAAAAAGTTTTGTTATGGTATCTGTCAGCCATTTGTTCCTTTTTATTGCTGAGGAGAATGTCATTGTATGCAGGTCTGTTTAGATACTCAACTATTGATGTACCAGACTCTGTTTAGTTTTTAGCTGTATGAATAAAGCAGCTTTGAATATTCTTGCTTTGGTCTTTTTGTGAATATTTGTTTTCAATTCTATTGGATAAATGAAGACCTAAGAATGAAATGACTGAGTCATAGGGTTTAGTTGGAGTAGCACAGTGGTAAAGCGCTTGACCTGCTAACTGGAAGTTTGGTGGTTTGAACCCACCAGCGACTCTACAGGAGAAAAGACCTGGCGTTCTGTTTTTGAAAAATTTGCAACCTAGGAAACCCAATGGATAAACCCAGTAGCAGGTCTTCCATCCCAGACTTGTCCCAACTTTCAGAAGGATTGCTTGTGAGGGGGCAGGGAGACCACAGGGAGATGGGGATGTAGCCAGAACAGAGAGGGCTAGGGACAAGGTGGATACGAAAGACTGGGCCTTTGACAGGGGTGGTGCTATTAGGGGAAACAGAAGGTTGAGGATTGGAGATGGGGAGGGACATTGTTGGGATGGAGCTGGAGGGTGTTTTTTGGTGAACAAGACCCACAGAAGAGAGGGATTAGAATTTTGACTAGAGGAGAGACAATTGAGCCCCTGCGTATGAAGTTTTCTATTGGTCTGAGACCTCAAGTCAGGCAAACAGTGCCCCTGCTGACAAGAGGCTGGCATTCCTAGGATAGGACTGGGCAAAGTCAACAAGATAAGATTTCTTGGGTGGTTTATTTTATCTGATGGAAGAAGCTGGCACCAGAGAGCTTTCAAATACTAGCTTGCCCATCTTCCTTTCTCCACCCACTCCACCTGGTGTGGAAGTGATGAAGTTGTGCATTGTCTGTATCTGGCCAATTCACAGAGAAATTGGCTGGCATGGGCCTGGAGGTGGGGGTGGGGAAGAGGGAAGGGACTTGTAAATTATTCCAGAGTCTTATTGTATTAGACTGTTGTCACGGTTTCCAAACTTGGCTGCACTTCTTCTATACCTGGGGAGCTTATATAGAATTAGGGGTCCTACCCCACCCTGTTTAAAATAGAATCTCAAAAGAGCCAAACCTTGAACTTTTACTAAGTTTTCCAAGTAATTCTGAGCATTTGGTGAGGTGGGGCTGGTAGAACCCCCTGGTAGAACCTCAAACTACAGATGGGCAAGGCACAAGTGGAAGGAACAAAGGTGGTTTGGAAAAGAGGAAGCTGGGGTGACATCCCTAAGCCCCCCTAGTGGAGGACTTTCTGGACTAGAGCAGATATTAGGAAAAGGGGGGAGATTGCAGGGAAAAAAGCGGGTGCTGAGCTGCTTCCTTGCCTAAAATTGTGGGCACATTCTCTCTACTGAGAAACCCTGCCTATTTCCTGCCTTTGTTTCTACCGATTTTAGGGGACTTCGATTTTGTTTTACATTGTGTCTACAGCTTCCTCAGGTTCTATGCTCATCTACCTTTCAGGGAGCAAGCATCTATCCTAAGCCTTTACCTCTGAACTTGAGTGGTGGGAGGCCCAGACTAAGGGAGATGTTCCAACGTGGAAGTATTGGGGCCTTTCTGCTTGTTACCAGGGCTTAGAGCCTAATTCAGTGACCCTGAGGAAAAGGACCTCATGAACCCTGGTGGAGCAGTGTCTAAAACACTTAGCTGCTAATCAGAAAGTTAGTGGTTCAAACCTGCCAACTTCTCTGCGAGAAAAATATGTGCAGTCTGGTTCCGTAAAGCTGTCAGCTGTGGAAACACTATGGGCTTTGCTGCTCGATAGATACTATCGTGTTGCTCTGAATCAGAGTCGACTCACCAGCACTGAGAGGAAATGGAGGCAAAGAGTGGGGCTTTGATGAGGTGGATTGGATACCTGATGGAATAAAAGACCAGGGAGGAAACTGCTGCCTTGAGAGCAGGAAGGTGATAACTAGTCTCTACCACCAACCTGGCTGCAGGTGGTTGAGCCTGTAGGAGGACTTGCAAGGGAGGCACTGAGGAAGCCTAGAAGGAAGTGGAGTCCAAGTGGAGACCTGGTGGTGGGAGTGGTGATGGTGTGCTGTGGAGTCAGTTCCGACTCATAAAGACCCTGTGTAGGATTTCTGAGGCTGTAAATATTTACTGGAACAGAAAGCCTCATCTTTCTCCCACGGAACCACTGGTAGTTTTGAACTGCTGACCTTGAGGTTAGCAGCCTGACTCGTAACTACTACAGTACCAGACCTAGTCTCCAAGAAAGGGGCTAAGATGATGATAGGAGTTGGTACCATTCTCTGGGAGTCCAAGCCATCCGACCAGTCATTCTTCTGTCCTTGAATGTTGGCCTAGGATCCTCCCACCTCACTTAAACCCCATGATTGGGTGTAATAGTCTGAAGTTTATGGCCCTGAACCAAACCCTTCTCTTGTTCTTCAGGCCAGGCTGGATGGAGACGTTGTTTCAAAGGCATTGGAGCAAGGGGAGCCGAGGTTTACAAACCCAAAATTTGACTTGACACCTAAGAGTTCCATTCCTCTGGGTGAAGGCTTTGAGCCAGTGGACGTCTGAGAGAGCCTAGGCTGTGTTTGACAATCTCTCTAGGGTGGCTGAGGTACAGAGAATGCTGCTCTGGACCTTTGGGATTGAAAGTATGGGCTGAATGGGTTATGTTGGCTTGCTTCAACTTTGCCCTGTTGATGAGAGCAGACCTAATGGCAGATTGGACCCTGGAGCAGGGTAAGGGACTATAGTCATTCGTTCTCTACCTCAACCTCAGCATCAGGAAGCCTTCTAACTCTTTAGGACAGGCACCTGGCCCAGGCTTTGGGGTGAAGACCCGAGGTGTGGATGTTGCAAAACTCTGGGCATGCTTCCACTCTGCATACTAGAAGTAGCTGCATTCCATCCCCAGGCTCCAGACCTATTTTCTCCTGCCTGGTAG